CAGCAGCTCTGAGTTCATTTTTGAATTCCCAGTCTCCCCCACCCTGCAGTCAGGTCTCAGGAGGTAATTAGTGTGGGGGAGGCCAAGCTCCTGAGGGGGCGGGGAGATGGGAAAGTACGGGTGGAGGCGGTCTTCTTGTCATAGGTCTCACTGAGGAGAGGAAGAGAGAAAGGGGAGGGGGGAGGCGCTCGAGAGAATGACTGGTTTTCATTTTTGCACGTGAGGCGTACCTAATGATATTTCCACAAATAGACAAGCAGACCAGAGACGGACACACAGAGCACACTTGCGTGTTTTGAAACATTCCGTACCCCCAAATCCAGGACGCAGCCTGTTGTCATAACCATCCAGCAAACTGTCCAGGATACGGGTAAAATTTTCCGGGCACATTTTCTCGTCCTTTGAGTTCTGTCCTGGGGATTCGTTTAAACTGCAAGTGCAAAAATAACGGGGGTGGAAAAGACTATTTTAAGAATGAATCTGAGAACAGGTGGAAAAAGGGTTGCCTTCTAGGGAAAGAGTCGCTGGCCTTAAGCTAAAGGAGGGTTGGGGGTTGGGATGTGGAGAACCACATCCAAAATGGTCAGGAAAAGCGCACCCGTAGGCAGCACGCACCCCCAGACTGCAAGTACCCTCAGGTAGCATGAACCCCAGCACCCGCGCTTCCTGCACCCGACTGCCCAAGTGCTTTCTGAGTCCACTCGTCAAAGCTTGGCTTCAGCCCATATGACACTGAAGACGGGAAGATCTGCTTCGCTAAGGGAAGGATGAGTGGCCAGAGCGGTGCTGTGGATCTGGGCACTTGTCCACCTTTCCCATGCACCCTTACCCTACAACACCCTCCCACCCACCCACCCCCCGAACTCACCAAGCCGCCAGGCACAGGAAGTGCAGGAGGGCAAGGCTGACCCCGGAGCACAGCGCGATCGCGGGTACCTTCTGGACAGAAATCATCTTCGCAACATGCCATACTTTAAGCCTGTTCACGTTTCCAGGCTCTCGAGATGCCCTGTGCAGGGTGCGAGGAGAGGGCAGAGAGGCTCCCGCGGCGTGCGCACACTCGCGCTCACACTCGCCCGCGCTCCGCCAGCCCAGCCGCGGTGGGCGTGTGTGTGCACGCGGCCAGGGGAGGCGGGACCTGCGCGCCCGCCCCCCTCCCTCGCCCAGTTCGAGCCGAGCCTGGGCTCAGCGCCGCACCTTGTCGCTCCTGCAAGCCCTGCTCACCCGTGAACTTGGGAGCTCCTGCCACGCGAAGCTAGGCAAGTTTGTTCCAACCTGTAACTCGGGGGACACGACCCACGGTCGTAGGTCCCTGCTCCGGGTCAGCGATCCCACAACCCCAAGTGGGTCCCTTGCCACAGGACCGGGCGAACTTCTCTCCCTAATCCCATTCCCTTCACCAGCGTTTTGGCTGGAAACAAAAAGCTCCTTTCTCATAGGTTGTATGAGGACTTGTCTGTGCCCACTGTGGAGGATGTAGGTGGAGAGAAAGGGCGGGATGACAGGGTTTGCGGGGCGTGGCGGTGGGAGGTAGTGAGGGAGAGAGGCGAACCTGTGTCGGGTACCACAGCCTTTGGGACCTCGCCTTCAAGGGCCAGGACACCGGGCTGCCTAGTGAGTAAGGGAAGGAAGAGATTCTTCCTAGTAACCTGGGTGGACTTCTGCCAAACTGTTGGGAAGTTATTGGAGAACACAGCCAAGGCATCTGTCAAGATATTGCTCTAAAGAGAACAGGTTTTCTTACTTTGCCCCATCCCACTCTACACACACTCATGCCCTCCCCGCTTGCCACTCCACCCAGGAGCCATGGGGATAGAGACCTGCGACTTTGTGAAACCTTCTCTTTCAGAATGGAATTGATTGGATTCCAGAAGTTGACAGCTTTAGCTTTGTGAAGGAGGCAAAGGTGGCTAGGCAGGGGAGAGAGAGAGAGAGAGAGAGAGAGAGAGAGAGAGAGAGAGAGAGAGAGAGAGAGAGAGAGAGAGGAAAGGGAGGATGGGTGGAAAGATGGAGGAAAAGAGGGTGGGAGGGAGAGAGATGGACCAGGGAGGGAAGGGGTTGTTTCCTTCACAACTTGAGAGAGAACCTTAAGCAGGATACCTTTAATGCTTTATGAAATAAAGATAAATATTTCAAACAGGCCTATAAAAAGCCCACTAATTATTAGTTGAGGGGGATGTCTTTTACATTAATATGATGCACACGACTATTCCATACAATTGGTGTCAATGGCATAAGCAATTTCCATAATATTGGGTCCTTGGAACCAGACACCGCTGGGTTCTGTTTAGAGAGTTACTGACTTGTTCAAATGTTTATGACTGGTGGGCTGCTAGCATACGGAAAAATTAGAAAAGAGTTTTGGGTTTTGTTTTTGTTTTTCTTAATTAATTCAATCTCCTAATAATATATTTTTTCTTTCCAAAGGAAAGCAAATAGTGTAGCGTGAAGAGTTATGAGCTCCCATGGGGGTGTGCATTCTGAATTGCTGCCTTGTGGAATTTGTTAGACTCCCATCGTTCCATCTCTGACATTCTCCTCCTGTGGACTGTAATCTCATGCTGGGTGTTTGACATCCCTCTGTGTTTATCTCTTGTTACAGCGCAGGGCATGTAGCCTATCAGTAATATGATTGGACAAATAAATCAGTTACTTCCTTAGTCGGAGATCTATCTTACTGATTGTGGTGAAATGTAACCTCTTTCTTTTAGGACAACAATAGAAGAATGCCTGTATCCTGCAAGCATGCGGTGAAGGCATTATACACACACACACACACACACACACACACACACACACACACACACACACATACATTGTATATAACAAATACAATGCTCATAGAAGACTGTGTTAGTACTATATTATCTATTGACCAGCAGTGGGACTGCTATATCACATGGTGGTCCAATTCCTAGTGATTTCCATATGGTTGTATCAACATACAGTCTCCGCTACAACATATAACTTTCCCCTAATCCGTGGACTTTGACAGAGACTACACCCATAAGAATTTCATGGTTATCAGTGGATACTATTGTCTAAGGCACTATTTTTGTGCTGTATTTGTCACAAACTTAATTGTTTTAGTGTAAATATTTGAAAAAAAAAACAAAATTTGAGCAATGTTTGCATTTTACCTGAATAACATCTGTACATGAATTCACAAAGTCAACATTTTTAGGGATTTTAAATTACGAAATATATTGTATATTTATCTGTAATTGAGTTTGGCACTGACACATTGCTTTTATACTGAGTGGCCTCTAAAATCCCACAATAACTTAGTAAGAAATGCTCTACTTCCAATACAAACTTTTGGTGTATTTGAAAATCCAGTGTTTTCTGGGGAATAGGAAGAATACCCTTTCAAGACCAGTGTACTTAGGAGCAGAGTCACCAGATAGTCTGCTACAGTTAGTAAATCGTTAATAACAGGAAACAATTATTATATTACATCTTGAGTAATTAAATGGGTTCATAGTAAGTTTAGAAGTTGTATTGGTCACTTTTCTAAAACCAGGGCCACTTACAGAAGATTGAGTTTATCTGCACTATGATTCCAGGGGCTTAGAGTCCATGAGGGCAAAGTAGAGACTTGGCAGGGCAGATGGAGCCAGAAGTTGAGAGCTCACCTATTGAACCTCAAGTAGGAAGCAGAGAGAGATTAAAAAAAATGAAAATGGCATGTCTCTGGACTCTTAAACCTACCTCTAGTGATATACTTCCTTCTAAACATCCCAAACACCACCAACTGTGAGCCAAGTGCTCAAATGCTAGAGGATATGGAGGACATACTAATTGAAACCACCACAGAAGTAACCCCCAAAGTCATAATTTTTTTGTGTGTTCTATACAGTTCACAGAAAGTACTGTTAGAATAAATATTCTCTTAATTGTGTTAGTGAATTCATGTGGTATAGATGTGTATGTCCAAGTTTCTGAAGAAACCAATAATTAAGTTGTGTATAACTCAGTGTAAAGTGGCAGTAGCTACTAGGAAAAAATTTAAGCATCATCCACAGGTACTGGAAAAAAAATTAAGTTGTTCTCAAGTGGCCATATAATAAATACAGTGCTGTGTCTTGTATTATGAAATCTCATGTCTATTTTACAGACTATTAACATACCCCAGTGTATTCATAAAGAAGCATGCAGAGTGTTTTTAATAGCTAATAGTAGAAAATTGTAAACAAATCAGTATTTAATGGAGATGGGAATGAGGAACAGAGATTGTAGGAGACACGGAGAGCTATGACATAACACATTGTTTCAGTTATAATCTAGCTATACCAAAATAACTGAGGCTGAGTAATGCAGCTCATAGTTTTGGAGGCTTAAAATTCAGGTAGCATAGTCTTGGCTCTTGTAAGGATCCTGCTAGCTACATCACAACATGGTGAATGGTATCCTGGTAGGATCTTATGAGGGGGGCAGTCAGCTGTTGAGACAGGAAGCCAAAACAAACTGAGGACAAGTCAGACTTGCTCTTTTTTTTTCACCACCCTATCATAGGAACTAACCAGGTTCCCACAAGAACTACTTTAATCTCTTTGAAAGATGATGCCTCAAATAACCTGTGTCTTGGGGTAGGCACTCACCTTTAAAGGTCCTGCCACTCTCACAACACTGGGGACCACATTTTGAACACACAAAGATTATGTTTCTGTAGCATTTAAAATGAAGAAAATAAGATCCATCTACCTATCCATCCATCTACTTAGAGATACACAAAATAAAAGGCAGAAAAATATTTTCAGCAAAATATTCAATTAAATTTAATAAAGATGGTCAAGCTAGGGGAGGGACGGGGTGGGAGAGCAGTGAAAGAGATATCTTAATAGAGGGAGACAATGTGGGGTAAGGGAGAAACCTGGTGCTAGGGAAATTCCCAGGAATCCACAAGGATGACCCCAGCTTAGACTACTAGTAGTAGTGGAGAGGGTGCCTGCACTGGCCTTCCCTGGTAATCAGATTGGTCAATATCCTAATTGTTATCATAGAACCTTCATCCAATAACTGATGGAAGCAGATGCAGAGATACACAGCCATGCACCAGACTGAGCTCCACGAGTCCAGGCAAAGAGAGGTAAGAGGAATTAAATGAGGGGGGGGGGGTGTCAAGATCATGATGGGGAAATCTACAAAGATAACTGAACCAAGCTTGTAGAAACTCAGGAACTTTAGACCAACAGCTGTGGAACCTGCATGGAACCAGACTAGACCCTCTGCATATGGGAGACAGTTGTGTAGCTGGGTCTGTTTGAGGGGCCCCTGGCAGTGTGCTCAGGATCTATCCCTGGTGCATGAGCTGGCTTTCTGAATCCCATTACCTATGGTGACACCTAGCTCACCCTTGATGCAGGGTTAGGAGCTGTGTCCTGCCTCAACTGCATGTACCAGGCTTTGCTGTCTCCCCCATGGGAGAACTTACCCTTCTGGAGGAGGGAATGAGGAGTTGGAAGGAGGTGGAGGTTAGGCATGGGTGGAGAGAGCAGGAGGAGGGATGAGAGGGGGATCTGTGGTTGGTATATAAACTGAATAAAATTTTAAAAATAAAAAAATGAATAAAGTGAAAAATGACATTGTAAATTGTTCATGGGCATAAATATAGCCACTTGAGCAAATATGAGTGGAAAGAAAAACCACAAAACTTTATATAGTAAATATCTGGGAAAAGGAAGAATAAATATAGTAAAGGTGAGGATCAATGCCTGCTTCAACTGTGTAATGCCTTGTTTCAATGGAAAAAAATGTCTGAAGGAAATGTGGAAAATGTTAACTTTTTTCAAATGCAGTAGTAAGGACTTGAATGTTCACTATTTCCTGTTTTTTTTTATTATTGTTGTTGTTTTTGAACAACTGTTGGTGTGCAACAAAGCAATATAAAACTTGCTGTGTTAAAACAATGATTTATGGTGGTTTCTCAGAGCATTTATCATGTGGCTATGGCAATTATTCATAGAGGTCCATAATACTACCATAGTTAAACAGTGGCACATTTATCTGTGCCCATTCAAGGTATTAGACACTGCTTTAGAATTTTGCACGATGGACACCTAGCTGGGCAACCTGGAACACCTGGGGAGGCATAGGTTACTAGTTGCACTTCCTCCCCCATCGTTCTCTCCTGTCTTAGTTAGATTAGGCTTCCTCACAAGGTGATGGTATAAAGATGATGAAACTCCTTAAATACTGTGTGTCCTCCCCAACAGTCAATATGAAGCTGACCACTTCTGAACAAAACCTTCAAAATACAGAGCATCTTTGTATTGGTCAAAGCAGATTATAGGGTCTAATAGGTTTGTGCAAAGACGATTCACAAAGATATAAATACTGAAGGATACTGAATATATTGAAGGATACTGAGGATATTGAAGAGTAGCTATGACTCTATACAATTTTTAGATGCCTCATTCCACAGGAAAGTAAAAAACAAAAACTAAATACCATTTAGTGAGTATTGTGATGGTTAATTTTGGGTGAGCTGGGAAAAATCACAGTACACATATGTTTGGTAAAATACTCTAGATGTCTCTACAAAAGTTGTTTTTATGGGCAAAATTAAAATTACTCTACAGCCATCCACTTTGAAAGAGCCCAATCTCATCTGATAATACTAAAACTAAAGTCACTGAATAAAGCAGATGGCTGTCCATGCTGAGGCTCTTCCTCATCCAATGGATTGGAGACCTTGGCAGACAGTGACCAACTGCCCTGGAAGAGGGATCCCACTGTGGTCTTGAGTTGCAGTATTATGTTTGTTGAGGGGGAGGGATGCCCAAACAGGCAATATATCCAGCTTAGGTTTCGATTTTCCAGCTCATGAGTTAGTTATGTTATTGTTGAGACAGGATCTCCCTGTGTAGCCTTTGCTGGACTAGAACTCAATGTACAAACCAGCTGACCTTGGATTCTTAGAGACCCACATGCTTCTGTCTCCTTAGTGCTGAAATAAAAGATGTGTAGCACCATGTCTGACGTGAGTCTTTTTTTTTTAATTAAAAAAATTTTCTTCATTTTACATACCAACCACAGATCCTCCTCTCATCCCTCCTTCTGTTCCTTCCACCCAGGCCTAACCTCCACCCCATTCTGATGCCTCATTCCCTCCTCCAGAAGGGTAAGTTCTCCTATGCGGGAGACAGCAAAGCCTGGTACATGCAGTTGAGGCAGGACCTAGCCCCTCCCCCCTGCATCAAGGGTGAGCAAGGTGTCACCATAAGTAGTGGGATCCAGAAAGTCAGTTCATGCACCAGGGATAGATCCTGAGCACACTGCCAGGGGCCCCTCAAACAGACCCAGCTACACAACTCTCTCCCATACGCAGAGGATCTGGTCCCATGCAGGTTCCACAGCTCTTGGTCTAAAGTTCCTGAGTTCCTAAGAGCTTGGTTCAGTTGTCTCTGTAGATTTCACTATCATGATTCATCGTGATCTTGACCCCCACCCCTTTGCTCATTTAATTCCTCTTCCCTCTCTTCAACTGGACTCCTGGAGCTCAGCCTGGTGCTTGGTTGTGGATTTCTGCATCTGCTTCCATCAGTTACTGGATGAAGGTTCTATGATGGCAGTTAATGTATTCACCAATCTGATAACCAGGGAAGGCCAGTGCAGGCACCCTCTCCACTACTACTAGTAGTCTAAGCTGGGGTCATCCTTGTGGATTCCTGGGAATTTCCCTAGCTCCAGGTTTTTAAAGTGTGGATACATGGGGCTGGGTAGATGGCTCAATAGTTAGGAGCACTTATTGCTCCTGCAGAGAACCTGGAATCTGTTCCCAGTACCCACATTGGGTGGCTCACAACTCCTTGAAACTCCAATTCTAAGGTTCCAACACTGTCTTCTGAACTGTTTAGGCATCTGCATGCTCAGGAACCCACACATAAATAAATAAGTAAATAAGTAAATAAATAAGTAAATAAATAAATAAATAAATAAATAAGCATTTTTAAATGTGGGTGGAAAAACGGAAGTCGACAGATAATAGAGAGATTATATCTTACTGTTTCTATTTCAGTGCCATAAATAATACAGGATTAATAGATTAAATATTCATCTAACCTTTTAGGTTTTGCTAAAATTTGATGTTTTAATTAAATTATATTTTTCCTGTTTTTGAATTCCAATGATTTGCTCCAAAGATGATGCTAAATTTCTATAGAAACTTGAAACTTATAAAAGATTATCCTCTTATTTGTCTTACAATGATGAATTTTGTGAAATAGACAAGCTCTCATGATATGGGAGCAAATATAAATATTAAACGTACATGAACTACAGTTTAGATTCTAAATTAGTCACCATATTTTAATTTGGTCCCTTTAATATTTTTGTCTGATACTGTACCTGCATTATAAAATCTTGGGAAATAAAAACTACTAGGAAATGGAAGCAAATTATTTTAACATAATTACTTAATGCAAATTTTAAAATGTACATTTTAAGTATAACCAATGGTTTAAGCTTTTGCAAAAAAAAGAAAATACTACCTTAGGGACTGGGGAGATGGCTCACTGGCTAAGAGTGCTTGCTGCTCTTGCAGAGGACCTGAGCTTGGTGCCCACCACCTACGCAGGTGGCTCACAGCCAAATGTGTGACTCCAAATCAAGGACATTGGTGAACACCCAAATTCACACATACACATTCTAGCATGGAGATATCCATATAAATCTCAGAACCCCACCTTAAAATCTTTAGGAAATCAACAGTGATGGAATATATTTGGCAATTAAATAGGTCCAAAAAGCAAAATCATAGAACTTGCTCTGTATGTTCTGCAATTATACTATAAGCATTTGCATAGAATATGCTTATTCTATTGGCTTAAGAGTGGCATGAAAGGAGCAATACTTCAGAAATATTCATAATTAGAGTAACATAGCAAATCATTCTGAAGTGTGCATGTATTTTCACTCACCATTCTATACACAAACGTTTTTGGCTTTTCAAATGTTTAAGTAACAAGAAAAAGCATAACTGTAGGTACTTTTATGCCTTTTTCCTCTATTTTCACTTTTTTGATGGGGGGGCAGGGAATACAGAACATGCCACACAAGTCAGAGGCACATAAACTAAACAATCTGGGTATTGTCACAGGTGTACCTCAGCTGGCATCAATTGGACAGAGTTATCAAAAACTAATTCTCTACACAAACCCATAAAGCCTGAACACAACTCAGTGGTAATGCGTGCAGCCAGACTGCTCTTCATTACCATCTGGTGGCTACTGCATGGAGTGGCATTACCATAATTTTAAAACAGAGTTAAAGGGATTGACTGTTATGCCTGGGAAGAGAAGTAACATCAACACAATTGACAATATTAAAAATATGGTAGGATGGGCATACAAGGATTGAGAGGCTTCCCTTACCATAAAAATTCAGTGTTGGAAAATCTAAGTCACTGGAAGCAATACACAATGGGTAAAAGTTTCATGTCTGATAAATAGGATGCATGAAGAGCATGAAACTGTATGAAATCACTTTTATTTGTTTTATAACAGAAAAAAGATAAGACCGAATTTTTCCTTAGTGACAATGTTCAGAATCCTAAATCTTTCAGTCATCACACAGTCTCATGTGTCATTTGCCCCAGAAATGTCCTTCTATTTTCTTGTTTGTTTTGGTTTTTCAAGACAGAGTTTCTCTGTGTAGTTTTGGTGCCTGTCCTGGATCTCGCTCTGTAGACCAGTCTGGCCTCAAACTCACAGAGATCCACCTGCCTCTGCCTCCCAAGTGCTGGAATTAAAGGCGTGCACCACCACCACCTAGCTGTCCTCCTGTTTTATCTATCTGTAAAATATCATCTATTTTTAAAATTTACTTTAAATAGCACTTCTCTTGAGAATCTATGACCACCAGGTAAGGGTTCTGTTTTCAGTGGCTATTGACAGTTGTTGAACATCTGTCAATCATTTACATAATAATTTCCTATCATAATTGAGATTTCCAGCAGTGGGGATGGTGTTTTATTTATTCTCACAGGACTTGAGTCCTAAACATCTAACATCTGTTTATGTAAAGAATGAATCCAGGAGGAAGCGCACTATTACTTGGAGAATTTAAACTACAGGAAACATGTTGCTGGCCCCACAAATACTAAAGCAACTATACAATTTGATTTGGGAGAGGAAAAATATTTTTAAAAAATCCATATTGATCTTGCATATATCAGATTCACTGATATCTTACAACTTCAAAGCCAAATGTAACCATAGAAACCACCCGTTGTACCACATTTTTAAAGGGGGAGACTGAAGCTGTGATGGAAGACCCAACTTCCCCCAGTTTCTGTAATTAATAAACAATTTGAAGCTTTGAATTTCAGTTTTAAACTCTTTACACAATATTCTTTTTTTTCAGAGAGGGTCTTGCCTCACACTTACAGCAATTCTCCTGTTTCAGCCACTCAGGTGCTGGGATTACAGGTATATGCCACTCTAACTAACTTTAAGATTTTTTGTTTTAAAGCTGGAGAAATGGCTTAGCAGGAAAAGGTGCTTGCTACCAAGCCTGAGGAGACCTGAGTTTCATGCCTGGATCTCACACAGTGGAAGTAGAGAATCGAATCCCACAAGTTGTCTTTTGGCCTCTATATATGCACAGTGGTGTGACCCCGCACACATAAACATAGACACACAACCACCAAAATAAATGTAAAATTAATTTTAAAGGTTTTATTCTACTGTTTTGATCTCTGATTTAAAAATGAACTCAGTTCTGAGGATGTTTGTCCTTAAAATTATTTGCCCATGAAAAGATTTTAATTCAGCAATAACGTCTTCCTTTCAAGTTCTAGATCCTACTGCTGTACACTTTGGCCACACAACACAAATATTCAAGTTGGAAAAGTACTGGAAGCCTCCTCAGTAATGGCTAACCTATAGTACCAGAGATTCTGTGTAGGGTGCTGGGTAGAAATGTCAGCAACAATTTTACCCAGTGCAAATCGTTTGAGCTATAATAATGACCTACCAGGGAAGAGGTGCCCACTAGTGCAACATGAAAGTATCAACAGCTTTTTAATTAGAATTGTGTCCCACCACATAGTCAGGAGCCCGTGGCTGGGGAACTCATAATCAATCACAGAACACAGAATGCCTATGTTTCCCTCTGCTAGGTCTCAGTTAGGAACCATTACTTCTGCAATCACTCCCAAAACTCTGTAACTAAATCTCCAAGTAGGTGAGCTGCAAGTTATGGAGTCCTAACCACATCATCCTATAATTTGAATTCCCATCTACTCTGATTTGTTGACAGATGACTTCCAGTACTTTCACTCTTTCCTAGAATGTAGAAGCTCTCTTTTAATCCTTCTATTTAAATAATGTATTGCAAAACTGCACATTTCTGATTTGGAGTGTTATCATGTGTTTTCAAATTTACCAATAAAAAAAATAACATCTTTTAGTTTTGCCTAGACTGCTGAAATGAGATGTCATTTTTCCAACTCATTTCAACATCTTTTGAGAATGGAATTCCTTCAGTTGGATTGTTTACAAGACACTTACAATGAAGAGTGTTTTTCTTTTTTTTCTGGCATACCAAATTAAGAGTATAGATATTGATTTTCAGTTGGGATCATTCTGGAGAGGTTTTGTAAAGCTGTTGTTCCGGTTCTTGAGGAAGGTATTTGACATGTTATATTGCCATTTAATTTTGCTAGACTGCATAACCACACAAAACCACAGCAATAAATATTGAAAATGTGTTAAATTTTCTATATAGAATTATAAAGATAGAACTCTTTTGTGAGCCCAGTAATATGTCTCGTGTCATGAATATAAGACCACTACAAAATCAGATTGCTTCACTCATTTTTAATGCATTGATTTGAGCTATGAAAGGTGATTGTCCAATAGTCTTACTTTTTAAATTTAGAATTATATCTATCACAAAGCATTAAATATAAGTTAGCAAAAGGTTCTACAAAAACACGTTGCTTGCACTTTTTGGTTCAGCTTGAAAAATCAGAATTCTACAATTCACAAACCCAAATAAGAACATAGAATAAGTGGGATAACTAAAAAGTTTAACAAGATGGCAGGTTTAACCCAAATACATCAACTCTTGCATTGCATATAGATATAAATAGTGCAATTGAAAGCAAAACGTGGCTGCATTGAGTAACAAAACAAAGTCCAAGTATATGTCACTAACAAGAGATCTACTTTAAATATAAAGACAGAGCACTTTAAAGTAGAGCATCTCCCATATTATCCTTGTATTAGCATTAGGTAGTACTTTAGCTGTAAGAAATAGAGATAGAGAATGTTTCATACTGATAAAGATATACACTCACCAGAGAATATAATTATAAATTTGAGCATATTCACCTTTAAATTGTTAAAAAAAATTTGTATTTAGGGTTTTTAAGCTAACATGTGTTAGTTGGACTTGTTCTTGTACAAATTTCCTGGCAGAACAAGTGAGAATGGCGAAAGATATACTTCAGTTCACAGTTTCAGGGGTTTCAATCCATCATGGCTGGAAGGGAACGGCAGAGCCTGTCAGCTGATGAGGTCAGGAAGCAAAAGGAGAGAATGTCCATTTGAGTAGATGGTCTCCTTTTCCCTTTTTATTTAATTTGGGCCCCAGTGTATTGGATGGCACTACCCATATTTAGTGTGGTAATTTTTGAGTGACATTTCCTTAGTGGACATGTAGAACAAATGTCTACTCCCTCCAGATAGGGAACCAGTGGCAGACCAAAGTAATGATCCCACAATACTGCAGTTTGGAGAACCGATCACTTTTTTAGGGTTACTTACACAGGTGTTATTGACAGGCATTTATAAGACTGTAGCATATGCAAAGGGTTGCAACAACACCATAAAGTTCAACTCAGCCTGGATGGTTAATCCAGAGCTCCATGCAAGACTCTCAGGAGGCTGTCTGGTGGGAGATTTTCCTCTACTCAGTAGCTGTTTGCTGATTGTGAAACCTGAGAATAGCTCTTGTGAATCTTTCAAGTTACCTATGCAGAGACTTGTGGATTTCATTTATTGCCTGAGCTTAATGAACTGCCTCTGTCCCTTCAATAAGTAATGTTTCAATTTGGAAGAAACTGCTACATAGTTCAGTCTCCACTGTCTCTGAGAGTATGCTCACCCACGTATTGAGATGTATACTTAATATCTCCAGGTGACAATCAAGAAGAATAACCACAGAAGGACATGACAGTATTAGACTTTTTACTTAATTAAAAAATAATTGCATCATTACCTCCGTTCTTCTCCACTTCTTCAATGCCCACCAGTTCCCCTTTGTACTAAGGACCTCCCATAAGATGTCACCTTTAAAATGTCTGTGCAGTTTCTACAATGCCAAATGGAGAACAGACTTCCTAGCACATGAACCTCTGGGTATGACAGCCATAATCACGTCACAGCATGGACAAAATTAAGACCCTTAATCATAGCGATGGGAGGTCTTAATACACCTCGGTCAGTATCTAATGAACAAATAGATCAAAGCTGTTGTGAACATATAGAAAATAATCAACAGCCCCGGTAACAAACTGGAGGTTACTGACACAGAGGGATGCTGGATCTCATAACTGCATGGCACATAATGTTCTCAACTAACATGAAACACGACCAAGCCGATCGCAAGCTAGGATACAAAGCAAACCAAACCAGCATCAAGAGCTTGAGATCATACTAACCCTGTTCTTTTACCACTATGAAATCAAGCTTGAAGTCAATAGTAAATAAATTAGAACAAAATTTCTTGGAGAAATTTTCTCAGGAGAAAATTTGGAGCAAGAAGCCAGGCGTAAGAGAGGTGTGATCCAAGTTTCAGGAGGCTTAAAACTGAAGAAATTTATGTCCTAATAAAACTAGGTATCATATATATATAAATATATATGGGTGTATTTGTGTGTGAGGGGGTGGGTGTGTATGATGTAGAATATATATCACATATATCCTATATAACTATATGTTGCTTATATGTGTGTAATATATGTTATATACTCATATATAATATATATCATATAAATAAGATGTACAAATTTAAGCTGTTGCAGTTGTGATGATGAAGGCAAGAATGCTGAAACTAGATAAAGAATGCATTTTTATTTAAGTGAAGAAACCATGGCAACCAGGAGCCCAGTTAGTTCTCGTTGATAGTAATGGCTGCCTACACTACAAAGATGACAGTAGGAGCAGACGTCAGTGGAAACCTTAGAAGAGTATTCATGCAACATGACAGGAAAGGCTAGAACTCGGTACAACAAAACGACTACCTGGTTTGTTTGGTTGGTTGTTTTTTGCATTAGCTGAATGCTAGTAACAGGGAGGGGTGTTGGTACTCATTTATAATCTCAGAACTTGGGAAGTAGACACAGGATCATACTCCTCTTGGGTGCATAACCAATTTTAAGTCAGCCTGAGATACATGAAGCTCTGTCTCAAAAAACAAATGAACAACAAAGAAAAATTAAAAGGGGCCTGAGGATGTAGCTCCGTGATACAGTGCTTGTCTGGCATATGTAGGCTCCTAGCCCAGTGCCCATAGTGCATGCACGTGTGTGCACATGCACACACACAAAGACACAGATACACACAGAGAGAGAATAAAATGAATGCCAAGTTATAAGCCTTATCACTTGAGAAAAAATAAATGTTTTCCCTTATTACTTTATAATTGAACTTTTCCCAATTGTCTAAATGTTTTATTCATTAAAGTGCTGCACATAGTAGTTTTGGTGCATGGTGACTGCCCCACTAGATACAGAGGGATTTTTTTGAAGAGGTGTTTTTTCTTATCTCTTTGAGATTAAAATATAATTTCATAATTTACCCCTTCCTTTCTTCCCTCAAATTTTTTTCCCATATACCCTTACTTGTTATCTTTCAAATGCTTGGCCTCTTCTTTTCACTAATTATTACACATGCATATATATATATATATATATATATATATATATATATATATATATACAGATATTTTCCTAACTATAACCTGCTCAGCCTATATAATATGACTCATATTTTTAAAAATACCACCATTATGACATATTTATTCCACAATTTAATTCATACAATTTAAATGAATACAGTATTAATGCCTCCAATATTAATAGCAAATAGCATCTACTAAATTTAGCATGTCTATGCTCAAAACAGAATCAATTTTAATATTTTTTGGAAAAGAAAAACTCAGGTATACCTATCATCCCAGCACTTGGGAGACTGAGGCAAGAGAATTTCCACCAGTTAAAGACCAGTCTAATCTACATGGTATGATCTTGTCTCAAAAGCAAGTCGAAAAGCACATGATCTTTGTTTTGTTTTGTTTTTTGTTTTTTTTGAGACAGGGTTTCTTTGTGTAGCTTTGTGCCTTTCCTGGAACTCACTTGGTAGTCCAGGCTGGCCTCAAACTCACAGAGATCCTCCTGGCTCTGCCTCCCGAGTGCTGGGATTAAAGGCGTGTGCCACCACCGCCCGGCGAAAAGCACATGATCTTGATAGTGAGCCTAATTACAGGCAGCATGGTTGAGGCAGCTGCCAAAGGGCCCTTAGAGTTCAGATTGTGTCTAGAGGTTAACTCATGAGATTACATGTTTTAGATCTTCACCATAAAAGCAGAGAGGTTGTAATTTCAGTTGGAGGATTTCAAATTTCATTCAATGAGAAAAATAGAACAAAGAACATGTGTATTGTCCAGACAGATCTACAGAGCGTGGTGAGCAGTACTATGAATGGGCTAGACAGGGGAAAAAATGGCGGAAAGAATAGTGGAATGGTCACTATTTGATAAGTAATTTTAAGTTTCATTAAATTTAGTAGATTTTGAAAACAAATGTATGTTTATGCTTTGGAAGCTCCAATAGCATTGCCAAGCAGTTCACACAAGACATTTGGATGGGCTGTGCACATTCCTGCAGGTAAATGAATTCTTCACCTACAACAGCTGGCATTTTCATCTGGTTCCTGCTGGCCTCTAAGTGAATTTGGCTGTTGAACTACAAACACTGACCCAGTATTAGCTTTGGTGAATATTCAAGGACAAGCTTATAATTAGTGGCCCACACTGTCGTGACCTCCCTTTAATAAGGAAGGAAGCAGTGTGGCAGGAACTGTAATGATCAACCCCCTGCCCCATGAAATCTCACAATCATGAAATGAGCACCTGTATCCTTCACAATCAAATTTTGCTGTTCTCTCTTATGATTAACCAGAATAAAATGAAGAGTTTGGGTCTGTAAATGTTGGCAAGGTCAAAAATTTCACACGTAAGACTATCTGAAGGAAGAATCAATGACCTTGCTCCAATAGAACACTCAGAAAGACCTTGGTCTCCAGTTCAACTTTATACACTATGATTCAGAATCTCACTTATGACCAAGATTTGAACCTGAATCTTGCCCTAGTTCTGGATGCCCAGAAAGTGTCATCCCTCCAAACATAACATCTTAGGTTGCAGTTCCCTATACCAATTCTCATGTGTCTCCTTGCTTTCTACATGAGTTGTAGTCTTCCCATTTTCTACACATCCATCTGGACCTGTCATTTGTCCTTTGCTTATTTGTTTTTCTTGACCCAATCATTTCTGTCCTTTCTCCTTTGCAATTAGACTCTACCCAGCAGCTCTGCGCCAACCCATGCTGCAGCAGCCTGACTCTAAGGCCAACAGCCACATCAGATACGGTCTGACTTCCTGTTCAGCTGTTTGCCATCAGTGCAACATTGCATTAGGACCTTGTATCATCACCATTTTAACAGTTTTGACCATTCAGGCCTCTCTGAAACTCCTTACTTCTTAAGCTCCCTTAAGGCCATTCACACACACACACACACACACACACACACACACACACACACACACGATAGATAGATGATGGACAGATAGCTGGATAGATATAGATAGATAGATAGATAGATAGATAGATTAGATAGATAGATAGATAGATAGATAGATATAGATAGATAGATGATAGATAGATAGATAGATAGATAGATAGATAGATAGATAGATAGATAGATAGATATAGAAAGATGATAGATAAAAATAGATTTAATCCATGATATGTAATGGATGATCTGAGAGTTAGTATTAGCAATTAAGATCTTTATTTGCCTTGCTAGGGTTATCAAGGAAAGCATGACTATCTGGAAAGCTGAAGCCTGTTGTACCTGTTGTGAATTTGTTATTTAATAAATTCTGACATTGTGAAAAATCTCAAACATGGTGGTGTGTGTTTCTGATATAGTAAGCTTATCACAAAGGATGATATGAATTTTCTGCCTTGATTTACACACAAGGAAAACAAAACAAAGCCAAGTGGTTAAATAGAAAGGTGGAAAATCATACCTGTAGCCAGTGAACAGCAGCAGAGAGAGTTCCTAACTCCTGCTCCAAGGTTGTTTGAGGGATGACTACACAATGATTATTCTGTTACATGCTAATGAAGGAAATTTGGTAAGAGAAGCAGAGATTTCCTTATTCCATTAGTGCAAATAAATAGGATCAATTGAAATCTTGTCACATTTCCTTGCTACCATTTATTGTTAGGGAATCAGGTCATCACTCTATATTGCATTTATGCAGCCAATTTCCCCACAAAATCTCTCCTAAAGCAGGGAAATTGATGCCTTTCACATATTCTAACCTACTTACAATCTTAGGAACCCTAGGAGTGTGATGCTTTGTCACTGTGGGACTCAGTGTCATCATTGGCAAAATAAGGACAATGATAAGCACCTATTTTTTAAGATTATTAACAAGGATGAGATGTGCTAATGCATGTTAAGACAGTTTGATGAGTATCCATAATATATCAAATACTAACAGTGTTAGTCATATTAATAACTAACACATTGGATTGTTGTTTTGTTAAACCTAACACTTTTTTTTTTAACTCATTGCCACTGTTGGAGAGAATGTCTTTCATCAGTTAGAGGTAAAATTCTTAAGTATGTTAAAACATTAGGAAATTAACACAGTGGTGTAAATAAGTTTTAGTTAAAGTGAAAATGAGAGCATAAAAGCATGTCATTTCTATGGTAGATAGTTGAGAGGTCACGGTACCTAAAAGATGGGCATTAATGTACCCGAATGAGAAAAATTAACCACAAGGGAGGTAGAAGCCTGGAGACAAACTTCAAAGACTCTGATTTTGCTTGAGGCCTCCAATTATTGCTGCTGCAGAAATGAGCCCAGCAGTCTAGCTGGCCCTCGATCTGTGATCCTGCTTCAGGATGCATGGCCTCCAGTAGGCACCTAGCCCAGCTGTGAACTGTCTGGATAGCAGTTACTGTGAAAAACTGGCAGCAAGAAGCTCATGGGCCTGATCCAAGAACTTTGTACTCATATACTGCTTGCCTGGAGCTAAAAACTAGACAGGAAATCACGAGGGTAAGGTCCAAGGTGAGGCAAAATGGCCATGCTTGACTAGGAAACTGAGAACCACCAGACCTTAGGATCATGGTGTTCCCAGGTAAATGGTTTGGACGTAGACACACCTGCTCTTTGTGGTGGGTATGTCTCAAAACTCCTTCCAGGGGTTGGGGGACTTGTGAATGATTTATCTAAACTTTGTATTTAATTGCATTTTTCAGGGGATTCCAATATCAAAGCAGCTCATGTGTTCATACTCTGTTAGCAGGATACATTTTCTCAGTGACAGGGAGAAAGGTGGCTTTTTCTAAACTTGAAGATTGAACCTTAGGTCAAATTTTATATACTTGTTGAATGAATAGTTCTTAAATCTTCCACCAAGTATTTGCAGTGTGTAGACATCAATAAAAACTTCTAGTTATTTGTAGATGATCTTTAAACATATTTTTAGGTTTAGTTGTTTTAACTTTTGCAATTAAAAAGCTGTTCTTTGAGTATTTTGACAACATTCACTCCCC